TGACTGCTGTGTTAAAGTTATGTGAATTTTGATAGTGCCAAACAAACTGCTTTCTAAAGATGTCTGTCCATGTTTTATTTTAAAACTCTGCAAAGTTTCTATTCTCTATAATATATCTGTGTGGATTTTCATGAAACCTGTCCTCCCCAAATATTCTTAGTTACATTGACAAGCCAGTGAGTGGTGCTGTACGGGCCTATTGGCTTTAGCACATGTCTGGTACACTCTTATGGAACTCCACTTTCAACTTGGTATGATCTCACCACCAGTCATCTTTAGCTTCCTCTCGTACCACTCCATACTCCACCATACTGAACTCCTCTGGCTGCCACACCTGGGTTCACATGAAGAGATGTAATGGGCACTCTGGCTAAGCATGAGGTCCTAAAGGAGCCTAGGAGCCTCCTGTGAAAGGAGTTGGATTGGCATTTTAGGAAGATTATTTGTTCCTTAGTCTGTCTCCTGCCCCCCTCATTCTACTCTAAAAGGCCCTTACCAATAACCTCCACATTACTCAATCCAATGGGCACCCTTCAATTCTTTTTTTTTTTTTTTAGGAAAGGAAAGTCAATTCTTTACTTGTAATTTCTCAGTCAGCTTTTTTTGTTGGTTTTTTTAAAAAGTGTTTTTATTTATTTCAGAGAGAGGAAAGGAGAGAGAGAGAGAGAGAAAAACATCAATGATGGGAGAGTCATTGATTGGCTGCCTCCTGCACGCCCCCTACTGAGGACTGAGCTGAAACCCAGGCATGTGGTCTGACCTAGAACCAAACCATGACCTCCTGGTTCATGGGTTGATGCTCAGCCACTGAGCCACGCCGGACGGGCTCACAGTCAGTTTTAGTTGACCTCTTGCAGCACTCAGCACAGTTGTTAATCCCTGCCACTTGTAACTCTCCTCCCTGTTTATGAGCCTCTACACTCTTGTTTTCCTTTCCCTTTCTGGCTGTCCCTTATTAGCTTGTCATAATATCCTTTCCCATCAGGGAAAACTCTCACATAGAGTACGATCCAAGTAGCTATAATCTTCCTCTGCTCTGTTTTCTCTCATGACACATTAGGAGATTGTAAAATCGATTTAATGGATCACATAAGCATTTATAAAACAATGAAGCAATAGACTAAAAAATATTAAGGTGCCTGGACAGAGTGGTTCAGTTGGTTAAGTGTCATCCCATGCCCTGAAAGGTTGCTGGTTCGATTCCCGGGCAGGGCACATACCTGGGGTTGAGGGTTTGATCCCCCAGTTGGGGAGCGTATGGAAGGCAACCGATCAATGTTTCTCTCTCACATCAATGTTTCTCACTCTCTCCTCCTCCTCTAAGCATGTCCTGGTTAAAAAAAAAAATGTATCAGGGTGCACTACCCACAGGTTTAATATTGTGTGTGTGTATATATATATATATATATATACACTTTTTTTTATATATAAGTACACATGTGCATACATATCTCTGATGGCTGCAATGTGAAATGTGCATCTCAATATGGGGTGTTGATAGAGTGTGAAAGCTATTGCTATAGGATTCATGTTTATTTCTCAAGCCCAGAACTCTTCTTAGAATTTAAGACCGTGCATTTTGAACCACCTATTCCACACCTTCTCTTAGACATTCTCTATGGAGACTTTAAACTCAACACATCCAAAATCAAACTCAAGGCCTTCATCCCAAACTTGGGATTTTTTCCTCTGTTCTACATCTCTGGGAATGACCCGACCACCTATCCAATTGCAGAAGCTGGAAATCTGGGAGTCAATTATGGTACTTACCCTTCCCTAGCCCATGTCTGTCTTATTGACTTAAGTGTCTAAATATATCTTTACCCTGCCTGTTTTTCTCAATCTGCATCATCCAGGCCCAATTTACCCTTATTTCTCACCTGGGTAAACTGGACATCTTTCCACTTGGGCTTCCCTCTGCCCATTCTCTATAATGTTTCCTGAATGGTATTTAACAAATACAACCCTGATCATGTCACTTCCTTGCTTAAAAATCTTTCAATGGCTTCTCATCATTCTTAGACTCAAATTCTCTCCCTCCCTCCTTCTTTCTCTCTCCTTTTCCCAGCCCTCCCCTGGCAGGTGCTTCTCTGCCTCTTTTTCCTAAGCTCCAAAGGCCCCTCTTTTCTTTTGCCTCTGTAACTTGTTCCCTAAGCCCAAGCAGCTCAGCTGGCTCACTTCTTAAAAAAAAAAAAAAAAATCTAAACATGGCTGACCAGACCCCCTAAGATCTTCAGCCTTATTTCATACCATCATCTCCCTCCTCCTCTCTATATTTTAGCCACACTGGCTGGGCTGGATAAGGTCAGTTGGCAGATGACATCCATTCCCACTGTTTATGTGCCTTCCTGTGCAACACATGCAGGAAAGCTAAAATATTTTCAGACTCCAGCAATTAGATGTACTTGCATGAGATTTAGAAGGTGGAAGGCAGAAGTCACAGTTTGCGTTATTTTTGCTTTTAAGTATGGTTGTGGAAATACCAGCTTATGGTCTCTAGCTTCAAGGACTTGACATTTCACTGTCCTGGCAGTGGCTTTCTGATCCTAGCAGCCTGTCCTTGGGTGGCAGCTTCAGCCTTCTCAAACTCAGCCTTTCCAGTGGTGACCTGGCTCCTTTCTGACTATGAGATGGGTAGTAGCTCCCCTGGTAGGTCAGTTTCTGTGGTGTTCTAGGAGTCATTCCTAATACCCAGTTTAGGGTCCATCACTTTCTTCACTAACTAGAGTGGTTTCTGTTTCTAAACCTAGACTTCATTGGATTTCTAGATTTGGCCAGGGTTTCTCCCACTATAGGGTTGTTATACTTGTTATCCCCTTTGCCTAGGCTAACACCCCTGGTACCCCTTAACTCCTACCCCTACCTCTCAATTAACTCCTTATATATCCTTTCAATCTCAGTTCAAACACATTCTCTGGGATGTTATCCCTGACCCCTAAGACCAGATCAGTTTTCCTTGTTGAACAAGATATCACTGCATGTTTCTTTTAATGCATTATCGCTTTGTAATTAGTGTACCTATTTTTTGTGACTCTAGAATTTGAGCCCCAGGGGACTTGACTATTTTGTTTTATTCTGTTTCCTAAAGAGTTAGTGCTTAACATAATGTGTTGAATTAATGGAATGGAGGTGATCAGACTGGAGGGCGTTAGGACAAAATCAAACCTCTTAAATAACACTGGCAAGCCCTGTGTCACCTCCTCTTGGCCTTTCCCAACCACATCTTCCATGACTTTCTAGCCAGAAGGAACACGCTGTGTTCCAGGTCTCTGCGCAGGCTGCTGCTGCTGCTTGGATATCTCTTTCCTCTTTACCTGGCTCTTATTCATCCTGCTGGTTTCAGAGGAGACATCACCCCTTCTAGGACGCTTGTACTTCACACAATTCTGTAAGTTTTGTATTTTTTCAGAGTATTTAAAAGTACTTAATATTATTTAATAAATTTGTTACTTATCTGTATCTCCTCCTGCAAATGCACCGTCTTGTTCATGGGTGTATGCAGAGCGCCTTGCACAGGGCCTGGCAGCTAGTCGGCCAGCCTCAGTCTGGGGATCTCTGCACGCTCTCCTGGAGTCCATGAACAGTGAGGAATTGTAATTTGGGGGCTGCTAGACTGGGAGAGGAAGCTGGGGGAGGTTTGTTCGTTCCAACCCGTGGCTCACTCCCCAGATCGGCAGGAGGCCCTGGGGCGGATCCTGTGGGGGGATGGGCAGGGAAAGTTTCTTCCTCAGCTCCCTCCAGGAGAGTTGCAGGAGGGGCCAAGAGAGGAAAGATCCTTCCTAGGAGGTTCCTTGGCAAGGCGCCTGCGAGGAAGAAGGGGGAGGGGATATGATGAATGCAGGCTTTCTCCTGGCCACTGGCCTCCAAGCCGTGCGAGGGAGGAAAACGCAAAGCAGCGAAGAGAAAGAGATGAGGGGGAGGGGGAGGGGGAGGACAGGAGGGAGGCTTCGAGGAGGAGGGAAGGCTCTGTTTGCTTTGGGAGAGGAGAAGGGCTGAGCTGGCTCTGAAAGGAAGGGTTCCCAAGAGCCAACCAAGCCCCAACTACACCGGATCAGCTCTGTAAATATCCTGAAATCACTGACTCAGAATCAACACACTGGGAGCCTTTTTAGGATCTGATCATCTTAACCTCTCAGGGCTGAAAAGTCCTTCCCAGGGTTGGGTTTGGGGTGGAGAGGAGGGAATCTCCAGGACTAGCTTGGAGGAGTGAGTCTGCTCTCCTGGAAGAGTCCTGGACTCTTTCTCTCTTCCTTATAGCTGGAAGAGATGGCATAAAAAAAAAAAAAAAAAAAAAAAAAAAA